GAGAAGCAGTCTGATTTATTCCTGCACTATAAGAAGAAACAGCCACAGTGTAGAAATACACAATTTTCATAAAAATTTTTAAATTATTTGTAAATTTAAAAAGAACAACCCCCCTCACCCCCCCCCACCCCCAAAAAAACCCAAAATGGTATTGACATCAAACTAGAGTTAAAGTTTAACAGAAAATTAATCTGAACTTATAAAAAAGTGAAGTCATCAAATAAATGTAGTGCTGTAAAGGACGTCAGAGTGTCACTGCAGGAGGTCTTGATGGCAGATAAAGATGTGATCAGTCAATATTTGACTTCAATGGTTCTCAGGTCAGGCCTGCAGGCAGGGTTAAACTGATAGTTTTCATTGTCAGTTTTCCTTTTGTTGATAAAGGTTGATAAAGAAATATTGTTGCATCATGCTGAAAATCATCACTGCTGATTTTTGTAGTCCCTGCAGTTTTACAGCTTCTAGACCTGCTGCTTGACACTTCACCAAAAGATCCTTTTATCTCATCTGGAACATGAAGTCAGAATCAAAGACATGGTTCTGACATGATTTAAATCATATCTGACCAATTAAAACTTCTCTGTACATTTAGGATTGTTCCACAACAGCACCACTTACTACTCTGTTGTTATAAGATAAGATAAGATAAGATAAGATAAGATAAGATAAGATAAGATAAGATAAGATAAGATAAGATAAGATAAGATAAGATAAGATAAGATTGCCTTTATTAGTCCCACACGTGGGAAATTTGTTTTGTCACAGCTGAAAGCGGACAGTGCAAAGTTATATAGCAAAAATTAGAGAACACTGTTAGAACAATAAGAATAATATTCTGTACATAACTGTACAGAATAGAATAAAATAAAATATACAGTAGGATAAAGTAGAATACAAATGTTATATGCAACTGAGTAAAGATACAACTTTGTCAGAAAAAGAGTATTGCACTTAGTCTTCAGACTTCACAACAAAGACTTTTGCAGCTGATCAAACACACACAAACCCACACAGGTGCAATAAGTCTTTGTTGTGAAGTCTGACAGCAGTGGTTCCCAAACTTTTTTTGCTAGGTCCCCCTTTGTTTTATAAGAAAATATTCGTGCCCTCCAGAACAAACATATCCTCCAACCACACACACCCATTTTTTTGTTTTCAAACTCCATTGCTGTTTATTTAACTTTTTGTAAACAATTAAACAAATAAAAGTAAACTAAAATAAATTACAGGTTACAATACAATAAACTTTTATCTCTTTTGAATAAAAAAACAAACCATCTTTATGGTGTAATTATTCAATGTGTAATTGTTTTTTTTGTTATTTTTTACTGTGTAATAATATTCAACATTGTTATCAATACATTTTTCAAAAAAAACCTCTCTGTGCAGAATGGGCTTGAAAACATAAACAACCGTCGGATACTGTTTGTCCGGGGTAACAAATTGCGAGAGGATCTGCTTGATATTATTTGCATCCCACTATAACTCTACTGTAACTATACTGTATAAGGAGATAACATCTCCAAAATTACAGTAGTAGTTGGTCATTATAACACATGAACATTACCTGATGCTGCTGAAGTGAAGCAGAGCAAAGTTACAGAGGTTTTATTAGAGACACAGATAAGCGTTTTGCAATTCGGCATAATTTAAAAACGTTTAAATTTCTGCGTACTGAACAGCAGAAATGAACCTTTCTTGTCAGAGATCATTTTTGGGGGGAATAGTGGCCGACAGCGCTGTACATGACTTGTGCATAATAAGAGGACAAATAATGCAAAAACCAGAGATTTTTAGACTGGAAACTGTTCTTAAAATACGCTGAGAGAGGGGGGGGAGCTGAGCAGGAAGTGTGAATATATTGTTGTGGTGGAAGCAAAACAGCCAAAGTAAGAAGGAATTAATGACAATATTTATCAAACATGAAGTGCAGTTCTGATCTTCTTTTGCTGCTGGTTCAGTGTCTTTTGGTCAGAGAGTGACAAAACCGGCAGCTTGAGAAGCTGTGAGATGTCGGCTTTCAGCCCCAATGGCCTGTCTGTGTACGTGGCGTTGGGTGAGAAGCCGACATCTCACAGATGCGTGTGATGCGTCAGGTCCGCTTTGTGTTTATTTCTGTGGGTGGAATCTGTTTAGCTGCTCTCATTAACTGTTTTATGATCACA